AGGAAAAAGACAAACCTTTCAGGAATCTGCGCCAGGGGAAGCAATCCATAGAAGGTTAATTTTTTCCCTGCCTATGGCTCCATTAGGATGTACTGTATTTTGGATTTCTCGTTGCTACAGCCATCACTCTGAGCCCTGCTCTGCTTTTCTATTCTATTCTTGGACCTCCCACTTCCAACTCTCTTTTTTCTATTAAGTTTCCTTCTCTCAACTATTCCCTCATCTTCCTTGGCCACTGCCTTTAAAAAAAAAGAGACTTTTAAAACTTTGGGTCATGTTTTCTCTGCTACTGCTTTCCTTTGCTCCACCCCCTTCCCGGGAACACCAAACAACTGGATTTTTTTTAATTATAATTTTTGTTATAAAAATTGCCTTAAAAGCACAGACACTTTCCAAAGGCTGCCCCCTCTCCCATGGACATCCCCTTCCCAGCAGATTTCATAGAGGTGACGAGGGAGGAATAGAGCAGGCCAGCATGCAACCGACCCAATGCAGGAGCAATTAAAATTTTTAATAGCCACCCTAAGTTTGTCATGACCAAACTGCAAGTTCCATTAGTCGACATCTTATATCAGTCCTCATCTCATCTGCTCTGTGCTGTAAGAATGGTGAGGACAAAGGCTCAGTGGACAGGAAGGCTGAGGCACCTCTTAAAAAGGCACACAAAGCCTCTTCCCTGTCTTTGAAGGCAGCATCATCAATTTCCACTATGATTAGGGCCTCGCTGCTCTGGACCAAGGATATTCTGTAGGCAATTCCTCCTGCAGATTCTAACATCAGGCAAGGGATAAATAAACTAGTGAAGATGGCTGCTATCCTGGACACAATCCATTTATGGGAAAGGGACAACCCCTTGGAGCTCTTTTGCCTCGGAGTAGCTTCTTCTGGGATTGCCTCCTTTATGGACAACCTCCCCAGGCTCTATGCAGCCTCCCAGGCTCAGGGGGCACCCCAGATGTCCTCAACAGCAAGGAGGACCAGGCCCTGTAAAAGAGAGGACATCCCACAAAAGGCAGGACCTGACTCTAACTTCACAGAATTCAAGGGAACGTAAATACCACAGGGAGAGCCTATAAAAGTTGTAAGACGTAAGGAATTTAGACCTGGAAACTTCCCACTACCACGTTGCCTATATTATTCTGCCCAAGGGCATAAACTGTAGAGAGAGGACTGTGGAGCTCGAGTTCAATTCTCCTCCAAATTTCCTCATATGTTAGATTTTTCACCCTTAGGACAGAATCAAACAGGAAGCCTATTTCCAGAATTCCATGCAGAGGAGCTGTAATGCAGACATTGCAACTATTACTTTAGAATTCCAATCCTGAGAGGAAAGGGAAGGTATGAATAAATTTAAGATGTGGCAGTACCAGTAGTCATGGTGGTTATAGTGGTAGTTTTCATTTTCATAGTAATTCCTGAATCTCTGAAACAGCATGACTTTCAGGTTTTCTGGGAGTTACAGTAAAAAAAAAATGTTTCAAAGTACTGGAAATGCTGCAATAATATCTTGGCCGATGGCTGTTGTTAAGGAAGCAACAATAATCCTGAATGAAAAAGAGGCCACATCACTGCCTTGAGCTCCTGGTGGAAAAAGAGAGGGGGAAAGGCAGGCTATAAATGAGATAAATAAATAAGAATGGTCATTTGCATCTTCCTGTTGGTTGCATCAGTTGGTTGTATCTTTAGCTAGCAAAGGATCAATTGCCTGTGTCCTAAATTTCTTTTGCACCACACATAACAGCATTTGATCACACTTTAATTACCATGACTGCATGTTACGGAGTCTTTGGAGTTGTAGTTGGGTGTGTAACTAGAGCTCTCTATCAGAGAATTTTAAATAGCTCCTGAAAGTACAGATCCAAGGATTCCCTAGAGTAGAGCCATGGAAGTTTAAAATGGGATCAAAATGTTGCACTTGTGTAGTGTCAAAGATATCTTAAATTTATCACAGAACAGAAAAACTCAACCACTGCATGTCTGCATTAGGACATTAGCTTTCTAACTGAATCCCCTTTGATAATTTCATTGCTAAGTTAGCAAAAGTGGATTCCAGCAAGGAGTCATTTAAACTGACTTCCTATTTTAAGTGCTGCATTAGGTAATTTATTAATTATTGTAATAAAGAGGTTTTCTTTATGCAAATGTTTTATATATTTTTCTCTTAATTTTCATTTAATATTTATAGATCCTGTTGCAAATCTCCATTACCTAAGCTTGTAATTCCTCCTTTTGCATTCCATGCAGGTAGATTTGTTAAGTAAGTTGATATTTATAATGTATCATTATTAAGTACATTCTCTGGAATGCCCTTCCATGGGAGGCTAGCTAGCATCCTTCCAGCTTTCCTTTCACTGGCAGGCATAGACGTTTTTGTTCAAGCAGGCTTTTAATATATAATCATTATCAGGGAGGCTCTCACATGAGATCTGTGCTTCAAATATGTGTTTTAACTTTTGTATATTTTAATGTAATTTTATACTGTTTTTAGTATATTGATTTTAATTGTTTTAATTTTTATTGTAAAATCTTTTAAATGATTTTAACTGTGGGCCGCCTTAGGTCCCTTTCTGGGAGAAAGGCATAGAATTCATCATCATCATTATCATCATCATCATCATCATCATCTAGAATATTCTTATTAATCTGATTTTCTTTGTATTTATGCTGTGTGCATTGTGGGAATGCAAGTGGTGGGCCCCAAGACACTTTTGTACTGTTGTGACAAATTCGTATCCTGTTATGGCTCAAGAGCACCCCTTAGAGCATCTAATAGATTTAGCATCCCATTTGGCAGCTTGAATAACTTGTACATCCTGTGTTTTGTATTCAAATAGGTACCCTAAAAATAATCGCTTTGGTTTCAACTACCCAGCTCTTTTGAGGTGCAGGTTTGTGGCTGTGAAGCAGATGAGTTGAGACACTAAATAATTTACTGATTTGGTGGTTAAAATCACTCATTTCAGATATGTAGAATATCACACAATTGGACAAGATAATTAGTTGGTCTCTACAATGGGGCCAGCTTTCTTTGAACTCAGATTCTCATAAAAATAAAGATTTGCTTGCTTTTCAAGTGCCTTGGTAATGAAATATAAATAAAATCCAGATTTCATATCTGTAAAATCTCTTTCATATGAGTTCTAGGGTACATTCCTAACACCCCAGATTCAGATTCCAAGATACAGCCATGTTAGTCTGTAGAATCAGTATCTAGGGAGATCTTGTAGCACCTTTGAGTCTAACTGAAAGAAAGAAAATTGACAGCATGAGCTTTCTCAGATTTAAGTCTACTTCCTCAGATGCATTTGGTGCACCTTAAAGAAGTAGGCTTAAATCTACGAAAGCTCATGCTGCCAACTTCTTTCTTTCAATTAGTCTCAAAGGTTCTACAAGATCTCTCTACACCCTAGATTCGACTTAGCTTGAGAAGCTGGACTTCCAGCAGTTGTAGTCCAAAAAATTTTTTCCCCAAATTTTACTCAGCCTTTCCTCTTCTCACTGGGAATTTGCAATCTTTGCCCATGTTTCTGCTCTCAGTTGACTGCTTGGGAAAATTAGTTCAAACAGTCTACACTGGATATTTCTGTGCAATTTTCTACAATGCGTTGTTTGGAGGTAATGCTGTAGGCTATATTTCAGAGGAAGGAACTGGCAAAACCACCTCTGAGTACTCCTTGCCTAAGAAAGCCCTATGAAATTCATGGGATTGCCATAAGTTGATGGGCAACTTGAAGGCACATACATACACACTGTGTGAGGAATCCCAAAGAAAATGTGGGGAGACAATTTTAGCATTAACATTATTTAAGAGCAAATGATATCTTAAGTTAGAAGGATGTTTTTGTTTTATTAAAACATTTCATAATTGTGTTTATACAACTGGTGGGATACCTTCTTTTTGTGCAGAGCTATATGAGCTGCCAAATTCTTTCATTCTTTCATTCCTTTCTTTCCTTCTTGTAGACAATACAAATATTTGAGTTTGTTCTGGGTAAGCTCCATAATGATACTTTGCTCAGCAATTAGTATTCATGTGTTTTCTTGCATGATGGATTTGTGATGTTGGCTTCAGTTCTGTAAAAAATTTTTATTAATTACCTTGAGATCAGAGATGATTTGATTTGTCTGCAAAGAATACTGATAGTGTAATGTAATTTAAAGAGGCACGTGTGACTTGGTTTATCTTGTGACTTCTTTCCAGTGTTTTTGGTCTGGATTACAAAAGTATCATATTTATTACATTTTCCAATTGATAAATTATTTCAATAGAGGGCTGGATCCAGACTTTTTTTACAGCAAATTGTTGAGGGGGTTGTGATCTAATGGTGGCTTCTAGCAAGAGGAAGGTCTGTGACACTAGCATTTTCTGATTCCTCCTTTTGGACCCTCCAGCTTAGGAAGTGCTACAGGCTGCCAAAGGAAACCATTACTGTATCCTCTTCTTCCTAGGCCAGTGGAGCTATATGGAATACAAGGTTTTTTCCCCAACCCATAGTCTTAGACATGAAAGTGCTGGTAAAATTTACATTCCTGTTGTAAGATCTAAATCCATTTGTTAGTCCCAACTAGAGTAGATTTTTAGAAGTAACGGATGAATGTGAAGTCTCCTGTCAGATAAATACCACTAATTCAATGGGTCTAGTGTAGTTGGGAATAGCAGTTATATAGAGCTATATAATTTAATCTTAACTCTGATCTGGGCAATCTTTTGATGTATTTCTATACATCAGTTAAAAGGAGCCATGGTGTCTTCTAGTACTTTGATGAAATGTAAATACTCCATGTCTTTTACCCTATTTTCCAACATAGTTTCCTTCTCTAAACATAAACAGTGTGCAAATAACCACATCCTCCAAACAGACCTTGTTTTATGTCAAGATAAAACATGTGTTGTATGTTGTTTGCCTTCAAGTAGTTTTCAACTTTTGACAACTCCAGGCAAACCTATCACAGGGATTTCTTGGCATGTTTCTTCAGAGGGGGGTTGCCATTGCCGTCCATGGCCAAGCAGGGATTTGAACCCTGGTCTCTCAGTGTCCTAGTCCAATGCTTATACCACTACACCACTCTGGCATTCTTGAACCATATCTTGTCTTAAATTCCAAAAAGAAAGGAGGAAATATGTAAGTAATGTACTGAAATAATTGACACTGGGCTATAAGATGAAACCATTACCTTTCTGATTTTCTGCCAACTTCTCTATAGGCTGTTTCGTTGACATAAAAAGCTGAATAGCAAGGTTTTCCTAAATTTATCTGGACAACCTCTGGAAAAAAATCTTTCTAATGGATTTCTGCCCATGCTATACTACTAGGTAGTATCTTATGGGACTATCTACAGTTTAGACACATTAAAATGAAAAGTAGTGTAAAGAAATTATCTGAAACATAACACCTAGGGTTTGGTTTGGGGGATTTTTGGACTTTTGGGGGTCTTCAAAACTCTTGCAGCATCTTGTAATTTTTCACACAAATTATTGAATTAACAAATGGGACAAGAAACTTCCATCATTAGAAGGGCAAAGAGGATGAGTGGCTAGGATGTTCCATTCCTTTAAAATTAATAGAGTCAAAGAATTTGATCAGTACGTAGTGTGGCAATGTCTTGCAATGGAGCAGGCTGGAATATAGAATTTACCCAGTCCATTACTCTGCCAACCAGTGATTCACAACACTGGGTCATAATGGGCCATACATTCCTCACTCCTGGTTTATACTATTTCAGCATGATGCCTGTATTTTAAATGAGCTTTTAGGTCTCTAAGGCCCTGCTGATTTCTTCAGATCCTGTAAGGGAAGAAGGCTTTCAAAAATGTGGTCTGGGAAGAATCTACACTGACAAATTGCCATAACAGTGCAATCACTAGTATTAAAATCATTGCTTGTTTAGTGCAAAATAAGCACAGAATAGATCTTAGAGAAAATACACATTGCACAAGTTAACAGTCAACCCACAGATTGATGCTGATGTAAATATCAAATGTAGACTTCTGGGTGGTAGAGAATTTGATGTGGAGTTAGTTCATTCAGAACTAAGACAGCATCAAATTTATTAGCTTCATTAGACTCTCAGCCTGATTCACACACGGTCACATTATGGTCAGGCAAGTGAACCCTTCATAAGAAAACCTAGCTGTTGTTTTGGGTTTCCTTTGCCTACCTAATGTAGCAGCTGCCCTGTGTAGTCTTTGGGCAGATTTTGCAACTGCGTATTCCTGCTGGGTTTTATGCCTTTTATTTCATATGTCTTCAGAATACTAGCACTGTGGAGCTTTGCCTAGCTCTGCCTCTCTGTGTCTATCTGGGGTGGTAGAGCAGTAGAAAGAAGTGTGGCGATAACTATGATTATAGTTACCAGCACTACTTCTTTGTTAAAAAAAAAAATCTCATTATGGTGATGTTGTAAACTGAGAAACAGGAATTTGGTCCTTCATACGTTTATGTTTTGAGCTCTGTGCTGTTGATGATGTGATAGTCCTGACATAGGTTAGCAAAATCGTTTTTGAAGCTGAGACATTTACCACTTTCAACCCTGCACCTCTATAGTTTCCCACATCTTATTATTTTCTTCATTTTAAGACAGAAGTCAATCTAAACCTCTCCAAGAATCTGTGAATTGCCCATGACATTTTATCCAGCACATTTGAGAACATTAGGTCTAATGTGACATCTCAAGGTTCTGCCTGCAACAGGATACTTCAGATCTGCAGCATGGCAGGACTGTCCCTGACTTTGAATCTCCACGAGTAGATTGTGTGTGATTAAAATTATATCAAGTTATATATATATAAACATGACTTTTTTGTGTGGTACATTTGGAGCTGGCCAAAGAGAGAAAGATAAATTGGGGGAGGGGGCTTTTAAGAGAGAGATGGATAAAAGGAAAGGATAGCTGTTTTAGGATGGTGTAAGTCACATACTCTGAGATCAGAGGAAAGCAAAGGCAAACCCCCTTTGAACAAATCTTGCCATGAAAACCCTGGGATAGGCTTGCCTTAAGGTTAGCTTAAATCAAGTGACAAGGGACAGGAAACAGTGGGGTGCCTGTCGCCTTTCTGCCTTGCCCAGGACACAGTTTACCAGGAAGAGTGAGCACCAGGGAGCTGGGAGAGGCCATAGAAATCACAGCACAAAGGAGATTATCACACAGAGGATAAGGATGGGAGCGAAGTGGATCACTCCCATCCTTATCCCGTGATTGCCCGAAAAACGATCACCAATGTCGTGCTTATCCCATCATTATCCCATCAATGAAGTAGAATTGTCTCATCAGTTTTCATTAATGGAAACTTCTGTTAATGAAAAATGACAGGACAATTCCATTTCATTGATGACATAATGACGGGATAAGTGCGACATCATATGATAATTTTCCAGTGGTCGCAGAATAAGTCCATTTCACTGATGGGATAATGACAAGATAAGTGTCATATCGTTTGATAATCTTCACGTGATCATGCAATAAGGACAAGAATAATCTGCTTCACTCCATTCTTTTTCCCCGTGTGATAATATCCAAAGTCTGGAAGAGTTGAGAGGAGAAGGAAGAACGTCTGGGAAAAGAGGGAGTGAAGCAAGCGCTGAGGAAGGATGCTTTCAAAGGAAGGCTAGATTGCAGAGAGGGAGAGGGACAGAATCAGAGTCAGGAGAAGGGGTGAGACTATGATCAAAGTGTAGCAAGTAACTAGGCAGAGTTGATTTCTCCAACAGCCAATCAGGTTCAGGCTGGCTATAAAGGTGGGGGCTGTTGGAGGAGTGACTATAAAAGGGAAGGAGCAAAGGAAATTATCGTACAGGAAGCACAGTATCCTTCTCCTGTCCTTAAACTCTGCTAATCACACAATGGGGGCTGAAGATTATCACACTCCTCTGCACTTCTCCCATCCTTCTCCCATGTGTAAAGTGTAATGGAGCTGGCCCCGCACACTTCTCCCATCAGTAAAGTGTAATGGAGCCATTATTTGGTATTAACGGGAGTTCCTGTTAATTTGATATTAACTGTCATTTGGTTAATTAACTGTCATTCCAGTCATTTGGTATTAATGGGAAAAGGATGTTTTGCCTCCCATGTGATAATCTCCACAGAGAATTGAGGATGAGTGTGTCAGTTTAAGAATCATTTCAGAGCTGTTCCATTCTGAGAGTTGTCAGTTAGGATTCAGGCCAGAGTTAACAGAATTCATACTTCTGTTAAAGGGGAAGCAATCTAATAGTGTAAGAGAAGAGGTTTAAGCAAACCAAGAAACAGTTTATTTTAGTAAAGAGCTCATTGAGGGAACTGAAGAAGAAATAACTCGTAACTATTGAAGCACTGTACTAGGAAAGGAGGGATGGAAGATTTCTGAAACAACCTTGAAATGCTAACAATCTTGCTTGTAAATAAAGTCAAAGTTTACTTGTTTTATACAAGCGTACTGGCTGAATGAAGTTACAAGAATAACAACACAGATAACATGCTACCATAGATAAAACACTGATAAAAGAGGGACACTGGGACCCCAAACCCTAATTCATTTTAAAAGAAAATATATAAAAGTATAAAAATAGCAAGTAAGACAAAGGAGTCTGTGGATGTTCCTGAGGTAAAAGATAGCCTCGGACGATCAGCAAGAACCCTGTTGGTCACACAAGGGAAGAAGAAAAATCAAGGAAAGAAAGATAAAGATGAAAAGGCAGACAGGGTGAGTGAACCCAGACCTGACAGCTGGAAGGAAAGAAGGACAAACAGTGGAAAGGAGAGTGTGAAGGTCTGGACAAGGGAAAAGGGAGCAAAACAGTCAGAAGGAAAGATGCCAGGAGAAGCTTGGAATGAGGTAGCAATGCAGGAGAGGAGAGGAGAGGCTGACAGATGGAACACGAGTACCTAGGCCAAAAAGGCAAGTTCAGAGAGAAGAGGATGAGATACTCCAATCTGAGAACCAGCTGGGGTGAGTGAGAACTACAACCCCTGTTGTGAGCAAGGGCTCCCAGAGATGACGCTGAGGCTTCCAGAGCCTTCATGGTACGCCACCACTGACATCTCGGTGCTAGTGAGGGGGATACAGTCCCCAGAACACAACGGACTAAGGGAGTGGGTGCAAATATTAGTATTTGGACAAAGCTGACTGAGAAAAGTCTGAAAAGGTGTTGGCTGGAAAGGGGCATGACACCTCCCTGAAATTGTCTCATGGCGAGATAGCCTGAATTGGCAAAGGAGGCACTTACCTTTGGAGAGGAGTGTGACAAGAACACTCCACAGGGGAAAAGGTTGTAAACTTGCTGCATGTCCTTGCTTTATACAGTGGTCCCTCTACAATTGCTGGGGTTAGGGCTGAAGGACCACTGTGAATGTGGAAAAACAGAAAATAGAAAACATTTTTCTTTTTACCTAAGAAAACAGCTCTTTAGGAATCTCCAGGTCCTCCA